ATGTTCCGGATTTCTTCCTTCCAACAGACTTGCAAACTTGGCAAACATCTCCTTCTGGGCATTCATCATATCTTCTTGCATTTTCTTCATATTCTCTTATAACTCCAATTGAGTTTTCTCAAGTTGAGCAATTTTATCATCCATGATCTTCTTCTGGGTATTATAGGGATGCTTGGAAGTTCCCAATATTACTCTGTCACACAGTCCTTTTATTAATGTTGATGTTTATTAATGAATATTGAAATATATGATTATGAATGAATAAAACGCGATGCAAAAATTTAAATGCATTAAAAAATGTACATGCAAAATGTAGGGTGTTGATTTTGGAACGACTCCTTAGAACAACTCTTTATTTTAGAACGACGTTCAATTACAAAGTTGGAACATATCACAAATAAATCTGCACTATCTCTCCTATTTGTTGTACATGTGCTAGCAGCTCCACAATCTTCTGGTTTTCTTCAGCCTCGGGATCCAGTTCTTCAGTCACATCGGCAACTTCCTCAGATAAAATGACCAAATATTGAGCTATAGGTAACAAGCAATAAGGTCCTCTCTTTGCTTAACTCTTGCCTGAGCTCGCTCCCATCGAAAATGCCACTGTGTATCCCCCTCATAAGGAATTATCGATAGCTCACTTGCTCGCCTCTGAAAATCTTGAACCATGGCTTCAAGCTCACTCACTTGTTTTTTGAGACTCTCAACCTCCCCATGGCTCGAGCTGCCTTCCCTACTTCGGTATCATCGTAATGTAGTCTCTAAACTAGAAATCTTCCCCTTCAACTTCTCATTCTGGGCCTGACTCTCTTGTAACCGCTGCCCTAAAGAATCCTTTTCTTTCGATAAAATATTCACTTGGTGTATGCTTTGCTTGAGCTCTTCTTGACTCTCTCCGGCTACTCTTTTGAGGCTCACCACCTCTTGCCTTAATTCGACAGACTTACTCGATCTAGAACCTGTCTGACCTTTTACCATTCGCTGATAAGTTGGTCGAAGATCGTCAAAGTCTAGCCGAAGTTGCTTCTCCACTTTTTCAATTTGATCTACTCTACTCTTCTGAATGTCAATCTCCAATCCCTTTTGATACACTTCATCTTCTAGCTTCTGCAAAGTCATTCTCCATTGTCTCCGTTCTGCTTCGAAATCGCGCTTAGCTAACTCTAATGGAGATGGCACCATTCTCAAGTGTTCTTCCACAGTCTGAATGTTTTCAGGATTCACCATCGGGATGTTATTATTTACTCGACTGCTTCTCCACTGCTCGTACTCTTGAGATAGCTCGAGATCATAAGTGAACAAATTCACACGACGAGTTTGCTTCCAGACCTTAGTAACCCCTTTAACTTTACCCTTATATTGATCTCCTTTGAATGCAAAATCCGACCCTACCAAGTCCCATGTGGCTGAAATGAACTGCCTTAATCCATACTATCTGGAAACTAGTAGCGATGCATACCCGACAGAACCCCATATGCCTGGCAAAGGAACCCAATCTCGTTCTCCACATCTGTAAAGTATATCCAAAGAGACATTCCACGAAGCTCGCCACAAAATATCACCATCCTTGATATCCTTAAAAATGACCATCTATTTTTCTTCGGTGAAACCCCCAGGCCATTATTTAGAAAGAAAATCCTTCAAAGGCGAAAACCCATATAGAAACACTCGTCCTAGTGCCCTTTCAACATGTTTGAAATGACTTAGAATCCACACTAGAAACAATGGCGCACACCCTATAAAGCGTCCTTCTCCCTCGCGCCTACAAGAACTCAAAGACTGGAAAGTCTCAACTAGAATGGCTAGAACAGGATCCACGCACTTGTCTAATCTTTCAAATAGGTCAACGACTGATACATCTACATATCTTAGCACCTTCATAAAAATAACGAGCCGATAAATCCCTAATGCAAATAAGTCAAGCTTTTTTCTCTTATCAGGGTGATGAGCAATTACTTCTTTCAAAGTAACCCAAGAGATGCACTAACTATCTACCTTCTTCTTAATGTTTCTAACTACCCAATCTTCACTTATTCCGGTCATCAATAGTAATTTCTTCTTAAATGAAGGAGTGGCTGGCAGCTTCATATATATTCTATCCATTTGGGACCTTGGACAACAGACCAAAGCTTGATACTCCTCTATTATTGGTGTCAGATCTACCCTACCAAATGTAAAACAGCTATAAGCCGGATTCCAGAACTGCGCCAATGCTCGAAAAAGATTTCGGTCAATAGGAACATCCAGAAGATAAGGAATATCACCGTACAACTGATAAAACATCTCATTATCGGCTGCTTCTCATCTTCCCCATTCCTCTCTTAGCTCACTCAGATCATTATGACATACGTTGATGTGAGTGTAACCAAATAACTCCGACACATATCCAAGCATCACACTGTCCCCGTTGGTCAATTGGGACTGTTTCGACTACCTCAGAACATCTGCATTGTCCTCAACCTCTTTCTGAACCAGTCGTTCCATATTACTGGCCTTCTATATGGACATTGATCCCAAATCAACACCATGTAATGGATAGTGCAATGCAAAACATAAAAGAAACAAGGCAAAGACAACAAAAGATCGATTAGTAAACATAAAGCAATTAAGTCAGGATAATAATTTGTTAAAGAATCCTACCCACATGCTGGCTACCCAAACATGCTTTATCAGATCCTACCCAACATGATATCTACCCCCATGTTTTGTTATTCACAAAAAGAAATCCTAACCGCATGATATCTAATTCGCATGCTTATTAAAAAATAAACCTAACCGCATGATATCTAGTTCGCATGCATTTATTCGAAAAACAAAAATAAATGACTCGAAAAAAGCTTTTCCTTGTGTACCCTCCTCACGGGATTCTTAAGGCTCGGGGTTGGCTCAATCTAAGTTCAGGTTCTATGTTTACTATATGATGGGTTCGGTTCTAAAGTAATAGGTTCTCGAATTGTCCTTGCCGGTGCCCCCTTGGGCTGCCGAACCCTCAATCCTAGCCCATCATAGGCTTTAGGGGATCGAGTTCAATTTCGAGGGAACACACCTCCTTATGTCCATGCAGAGGTGATTACCATCACGAGGACCATAAGGCGTGAACTCCAAGAGCGATCCACTATCCCATGCGGAGGTGAAAATCACATGAGGGCATAGTCTCTCACTCCTACTTAAATAGGACGGAGTGAGGTTTTAGCTCATGTTATGATAATGCAGCTGTGCAGTGTGTGAGGAAAAACGAAAAAACACACAATAAAAACATTTAAAATTTCCTAAATTCATACAATTAATCTGAAATCATTAGAAAACAAATCAGTACAACTATTTAATTGTTAATCAAATTAAATCAAAATACAAACAAAACTTATTAAAAACCAAATAAGGGATCAAAAATCAAATAAAAATGAATTTATAATTTTCAATTGAAAAGACAATTAATTAATCGACTATCGGCCTGACTCTCTAAAAATGTCCCTAGCAAAGTCGCCAAGCTGTCGAAATGATTTTTTCTTAAAGGTGAAAAAGTGAAAACCACATTAATTCTTAATTATCCTCTTTTTAATTTAAAAACAAATGCGATTTAAAAGACCTCTCGTTTCGAAAAATTTGGGATTTTGTTTACAATAGAAAAATATGGTTCGAAGAGTCACCACCAATATTTGATTAGGGTGTGATTGGGCACCCAAAAACATTTTTGTTATTTTAAATAAAAATTAATTTTAATTAAAACAACAAGTTAAAGTCTGCGTTACTAAAATCGAGTTCGGGAGTCGGTTACGAGTGAGGAAGGATTAGCACCCCACAATGCTCTAAATCAGTACCTAGTTGATTAATTAACGTCTTTGCAATGAACTTTACAAGTTTGAACTTAATTTGATTTTTGATCCCATAAAACAAAGATGTGAATTTAATAATATTCAAAAGCACCCAAATAAATTAAATTAAAATTACCAAATCGTTTTAGAAAGATAAATAATGTTCGATTATTTACAAATATCGAGACCAGATCTTAAAAGCTATAACAATATTTTCTCGATAAATTTAAATAGCCGAACATTTCTTTTTCTTCCATTCCCAAATTTTAAAGTGATGGATCAACTTTTAGGCGTCATTAATGGGATACACTTTTATTTTAAAATCATTAAAAGCGGACCTCAAATGCGTTATGACAACCCACTTAAAATAATTTTAAATTAAAAAGGTATTACCCTTAGTCCGATTATGTATTTATAAGTCGAGTTATGCACATGAAGGTATCATACAAATTGTGCAAAATAAATAAAAATGCCATGCATACCATAAATAATTCATTCTCACACTTGTACATACATGAATTTATCAAAGTTCAAAATAAACATAAACAACTAATTAAAGAAAGCAATCCTAACAATGGACTAAAATAAAAGAAATTTAAATTTAAGGACTGCATCTAGCAGATAAAGTAATCTAAGTACACTGAAATCAACAGTACAAATATAATTAAAATTAATAACCATGAAGAAAATCTTAACAAACTAATTCGTAATCACAATATAAAATAAGCGTTAAACTAAAACAGATTTAAAACATGCATTTGTGAATTGAATGTAAAAACATAGGAAATATTAAGGAACTAAAGCATAATTTTGTTTTTGCGTATATATGGCCTTTAATACTTAAACAGCAAACATCATGCAACATATAAGACATAAAAATCCAAAAAAACAATATAGACAAATACATATAGCATATTACCTATATATATTTTAATATAATTACACCTTATTCGTATTAACAAGAGGAACATGCACAAACGCTGAAAAGCAGGAGGGACTAGAACAGAAGGCTCAAAAATAGAGAAGTAAAATCTAGAATTCAGAAAATATAAAAAGGGCATAAAACTGAATTTTACCCTAAGCTTCAATGGCTAAAAACTAATTTACCCAAAACTAATAATATAAAACCTAACTAAATAATTAAACCTAGACTAACCTCACCTCTGCCACTCATCTCTCAACCTTTTTTCTATCAAACTCACATGAACGCCCCTCACCATTGTCCCACGCTAGCCCAGCCCTTTGCTCAATCACTGCCTCAAATACTACGGTTAATGCCCCTAAATGCCCTATATGGCCACGATTTACATCTCCGACCACCACCGCGGTGGTTACCTGCAATGAAAGACCCGAATCGATGAGGTAAGTATTTCACTCTTTACTCCGATCTAAAATCCTAAATCTGCGCCTAAGGACTCACGTCTACCTCTCCTTTCCTCTTCCCACAGCCGAAGGCCTTTCCTCAAAAGCCATGGTCGACTACGATGACTCAAGTAGACTCGGTAAGCTTCTGACCCTTATTCTCGTTTCAAACAAAAATCACACACACACACATATAATTTCTACTGCAAAATAAACAAAATGAAAGAAATACCTCCTAAATGCTTTCCTTTTTCTGGTTTTGTTCTTGTTAATACTTTTTGTTTTTTGGTGTTGCTTTTGCTCGAGACAATGTTATGACCTTTGTGAATGATTGATGCTTTCCTTCGAATGGAACCGTGAAATTAAAAAAAAAATTGCTTTCTTTTATTGCTTGCAAAAATGATGAACAAGAAAGTCTTTACAAAATTCTCTTTTTTTTTTAGTTCTGTCTGTATTCCCCCGCTTTTTGCTCTGTGATGGTTTTTTCAATTCTCCCCCCACTCCCTCTCTGATGGTTAATCCTTAAAACTGACCCCCTTAACCCCTTTACATTTTTTTTTCTGCCCATAATAATGGACCTCGATCTTATTGGTAACTTCTGATAACTTACCAGTTATCCTACATGGCTAAAAACAATTTCCATTTGTTGTAGGGAATCCTCACGTGAACTGACGAATACTCTGCTGGATCGTTGGGCTTAAATTGGGCCTTCAAATGGTTTGGGGTCGGGTTAGGTTACCATTGCTTCGGGTCCGCTCCGATTTAGCCCCGGACAAATCGAGTATCTACAATATTAAAAACCATTCTACATTCACCAGTTTCAATATTGAAGATTAGATTGATTAAATTAGTGAATTGAAAAATTTTAACGGTGAAAAACTAAAATAACGAATGTAGATTTATACTGAAAAATCGAACCACTATAAATAGATTGTATCAAAAGTTTGAGGGTTCAATTGATTAATTTTTCATGAAAAAACAATCAACAATAATTTAGTTTGAGTACGAGGGCTAAGGTAATAAAATAAAATCATCTACTTTCTTATTACTAATAAAGGTTCAAGGTATTGCTTGCATTCTAAAATATGTCTGTTTTACCGAGTTAATACATAAAGTTTTTTTGACCTAATTTTCCCTAAACTCTAATTTTTATCCTTTTCACTCCAAACAATTAATTTTGTTTAAAATATATTTTAGTCAATAACACTGTCTACTCAGCATTTCTAACCAGGAAACCATATCTAATTTTAATGATAAAGGATAACTTACGTATTATACCTCGAATTTAAAAGATATTATAAAATTCAAGTTTAAATAATTTTCATATATCATTTATTTATTTTTCAATAAAATCAAATAATCTTTTTTTGATAAGAAATGATGTGATCTTATTAATCATTTCCTTGAACAAAACCAACGATATGAGATAAAATGAATAACAAAACTTACGTTGAAAAGACCAGAGGGACCCCCAATAAAACTTTAAATATTAACCTGTAAAAAAATATAGAGGTTAATAGTGTTTAAATAATACCAATAAAAAATACAAAATAATACTAAGGGTAAACTACAAAATAATTGGGTGACTAAAACATAATAAAATTGATAGTTAGGGTACTAAATGTACAGTTTACCCTCATATTAACTACTTTCTTGCTTGGCAATTAACTTCCATGCACGTAATTGTCATCTATCACCGTCCATTACAAATTGAACCTCTGAAATCACATCTTTCTATCTCTGATTTTTTTTATCTTCATGTGTGGTACTTTATTTAAATTAAAACCTTAATTGATAAATTGAAAAGAGAAAAAGGGATTGTTTCGGAAGAATCTCAACAAGACATTACGCTATCGCCTTCTCTTTCTCCTTACCTGGCCTCCGTCTTTTCCTGTAAAATCCTTTTTCCCATTTTTTTTTAAAGATTTATTGCTTCTGATTATAGTTGTGATTCATTTCTTTTCTTTTTTCTGTTTTAAAGTTTTCGATTTTTCTTACAAGGGAAAGAGGAAACGGAGTATTGATATTCAGGCAACGTAAGTTTCTCTATGAAGACGTTGATTTAATCGCAATTCAGTATTAGGAATAAATTTTTTTGTATATTTCTTTTTTTTTTGTTCATTTCGTGTTGATTTTCAGGCTGATTGGTTTTCGTGCTTCGTCTTTAATTGACGCGGGAATTTGTTTTTAGATTTTTTATTTTTTTATTGAAAATGTTCAATAAACCTATGTCGTTGATGTTATATACGATGCGAATTTTCTCCTCCTTTAGTTGAATTTGACGTTCAGTTAAACGGTTATTTCTGATAAAATATGATGACAATGAAGCAATTATATATTTTTTATATAAATTTAATAATCGGTTGTGCTTCTTTTGGTTGCTGAAGAACTTTTTGTTTAAAAAATTATCCTTTTTTATAAGAAAAACACGGGACCCTTTTGTAATTTATAGAGTTTTAAAGTTGTTTCTTTCTGTATTGATTTTCTTATTTGGTTGCTGAGAAAATTCTGGTAAAGAATGGAAAATAAAAGAACTGTTTTCTCAGTTTGAAACACTATCATTTTGCAATTTCTGGTAAATAACGGTGGGGTTTTTATTATCTCATCTTATTGATTTTGACAATTGATTCAGTTTTATTTATTGATTTAATTTTTATGGATGTAGGGATTGAGGATGGTTACTGGCAGTAACATAGATATGCTACGAACAATAGGTAATAGTTTAGAATGACCTAGTGGGAATTTGGAAGATAGTTTGGCTGAACTAGAATTGCTTTTGCGAGTACATCACAACCAACAATCTATGGGCCGTCCAAGAGATCTTAATATATATAGGAGTGGCAGCGCGCCCCCGACGGTCGAGGGATCCTTCAGTGCTGTTGGTAGTCTTTTTGCTTATCCTGATTTTGGAGACAATGGTGGTATCAATGGTGTCAATAATAGTGCTAGTAGCAATAATGGAATGCTATCTGAAGATGAGATACGCTCGCATCCTGCATATCTTTCATACTACTACTCCCATGAAAACATAAATCCAAGGCTTCCTCCACCATTGTTATCAAAAGAGGATTGGCGTGTAGCACTGAGGTTTCAGGCTAGTGGTGCTTCCTTTGGGAACATTGGGGATTGGAGAAAGAAGAAGTTGATTGATGGTGGTGATAGCTCATCATTATTTTCGATGCAGCCTGGTCTTTATGTAGAACAAGGACAAAACGATTTGGTGGAATTGAGGAATGCCAATGCAAGGAAGATGTCGGCTGAGTGGCTTGGTAGAGGCCCAGATGGTTTGGCTGGGTTGTCTGGTACTGGGATTGGTGTAAGGAGGATGAACTTTGGTGACATTCTTCAGGTGAAGTAGCCCCTAGTTCGATTGATAAATTTGTAGGTTTCATGATTTTTTTAACCTCATTGTAATATGATTTGTTCTAGTATTCTCTGCTGATATGGTTGTTTTGTCCTGTTTTCTTGTGATACTACAAACCTCACCATGAAAGTATATCAATCTTTAGGTGATTTCCAATTTGTGTCCCTTTTTTCTTTGTTTGATTAATATATTTTTTCTTGCATTTTGTCTATATGGCGGGGTTTCTGATAAAAAGATGTTATTTTTATTGTAGATGTACCATTGAGTCATTGGGTAAAGTTCCCTTAGATATCTTATGTGGTTGGTTATAATTAAGTTTTCGCACTTTTTTCCCAGATTGTTTATAATTAAGTTTATATACCCTTTTCTCATTTTTTGTTGTTACTGCTGTTGTGCGTTGGGCTTTTCTTTTAAATCATTATACTATTTATACAAATCACTTTCTAGATGAGAACTTGTACGATTCTGGGAATTTAATGAAACTTTACTATATATTTTGAACCTGTTGGGGATGCTTTTCTCTGATTCCCCCCCTTGTGTCTTTTTTCATGGTTGAAGGATTTTCGTGAAAACTGAATAATAAGTTACTTCAAATATTTTCCGCAAAGGAAAGATTGGTATCAAATTCCAGCTTCTATATCCTACATTATTTTCTTCTGCCATTTAACATAGTTCTGCAACATTTATGATGATGTTCAATCATTTAATATTGTTATTTTCTGCCTTGATGTTTTGCTTGGTAATGATGCATGTTTAATATGTTAAACATTCTGATCTAATTCAATTGAAATTGGATCATAAGTGAAATACCAATTTTTTTTTAACTTGTTTTTCCGTGCAACTGATATGGTAATTTCCTGCAGGATGGACTTGATCGACCTGCCTCCTTTTCCGGCCACCTGTCACAACCAGTTATCCATAATACTTTTAGTGAAATGTTGGATGCGGCTAGCATTGCTGATCCCAGCCCACCTGGTTACTCTAATGGAGCAGAGTCCATGGAGGGCTTGCCTGCTGGAGCTCATCTTCAGAGCCATGGTAAAACCACTTCAAACTCTTTTGCATCTGCTGTGGGTTCATCGTTTTCGAGGAGTACAACTCCTGAACAACGTTTAGCTGGGAGGTCTCTTGTTTCTGGACTTCCTCCTGTTGGGAGCAAGGTTAGCCATATAGAGAAAAAGAATATCATTGAATCTAATGCGCAAAATGGACCTTCTGCTGTTCCTGACCTTGCAGCTACATTAACCGGGTTGAATTTATCGAAATCTAGACATGGACATGTAGATGAGAATAGTCATTTGCGATCCTGTCTTCAGGCTGATCTGGGTATTCAGCTGAATTCTCCATTAAACATGTCAAATGGTCTAAATCATAGTGTGCAGCAGCAATTCATAGGCAAGTCCAGTGCTGAAAAGCTCTCATTTTCTCCAAATTATATTGACTTGAAAAGGGAAAAGGGAATTGTACCTAATATTATTGTTTCTGAGTTTAATTACAATGGGGAAGTCAGAATTCCGAAAAGAACTTCATCTTCTGCAGATCTTTACTCAAAAGTGCATCCTTCTGGATTTGGAAGTTTGGAAGGTTCCAATGTTGTACATTCACATATGAATCTTTCAAACACAGATTTCATTGGCCATTTACCTGGTGCTTCTTTTGTTGTCCAGAAGTTAAATTCAGCGATTAAGAAAAATTTAAATGCAGGTATGGTATTTCTGGGGTTTTTACTTTTCTGTTGACATTTATCATTTTATACTTTATTCTCTTCGACTTTTTTCAGGTTCCTCCTTAACAGGTGATAGGCAAAGTTTAAATAGAGCTGGAAATGAAGGATCTAACCTTTATTCTCCACTTGTGGATCCATATTATATCCAATACTTGCAAAGAACTTCTCAATATGGAAGACATACTGCAGCTAGTCCTGACTCTCTGCTTGCTGGGAACTATGTTGGTAGTTCACATGGGGATTTAGATGGCCTTCAAAAGGCATACATTGAGGCGATATTAGCTCAGCAGAAGCAGCTGTATGAATTGTCGCTTTTAGGTAAGTCTGGTAGTCCTAATCATGGCTATTATTGGAATCCCTCGTGTGGTCTCAGAATGCCATATGCCGGAAATCCAATGGCAAATTCTGTATGGGCATCCCTTGGTTCTGGAAGCATACAGAATGACAGAACCGCACGATTTAATTCAATGATTAGAAGCCCAACAGGGACATGGCAGTTGGATATCGGTAGTAGTGGATGGAAGATATGCATCATCTTTATTAGATGAATTTAAGAACAAGAAGACTAGTTCTTTGAACTCTTGGATATTGCTGACCATGTTGTTGAATTCAGGTGTGTGTTCTGGTCCTTGTCTTTATGTTATAATGCATTTGTGCATGTAATGTCCTGATCTAATTTGTATATTATGATGCAGTACGGATCAATAT